CTGAGACCTCTGAGTTACCAGTCTTTTCATAGAATCATTGAATATCAGATTGGAAGGGACCTCAGGAGGTCATCTAGTCCAACCCCCTGCTCAAAGCAGGACCAATTCCCAACTAAATCATCCCAGCCAGGGCTTTGTCAAGCCTGACCTTAAAAACCTCTAAGGAAGGAGATTTCACCACCTCCCTAGGTAACCCATTCCAGTGCTTCACCACCCTCCTAGTGAAAAAGTTTTTCCTAATATCCAACCTAAACCTCCCCCACTGCAATTTGAGACCATTACTCCTTGTTCTGTCATCTGGTACCACTGAGAACAGTCTAGATCCATCCTCTTTGGAACCCCCTTTCAGGTAGTTGAAAGCAGCTATCAAATCCCCCCTCATTCTTCTCTTCTGCAGACTAAACCACCCCAGTTCCCTCAGGCTCTCCTCATAAGTCATGTGCTCCAGCCCCCTAATAATTTTTACTGCCCTCCGCTGGACTCTTTCCAATTTTTCCACATCCTTCTTGTTGTGTGGGGCCCAAAACTGGACACAGTACTCCAGATGAGGCCTCAGCAATATCGAATAGAGGGGAATGAGGAGATAACTGGGTCTGTGGCAATGCCCCTACTTATACTGCCACAAATGCCGTTAGCCTTCTTGGCAACAAGGGCACACTGTCGACTCACATCCAGCTTCTCATCCACTGTAACCCCTAGGTCCTTTTCTGCAGAACTGCTTCCTAGCCATTCGGTCCCTAGTCTGTAACAGTGAATGGGATTCTTCCGTCCTAAGTGCAGGACTCTGCACTTGTCCTTGTTGAACCTCATCAGGTTTCTTTTGGCCCGATCCTCTAATTTGTCTAGGTCCCTCTGTATCCTATCCCTACCCTCCAGCGTATCTACCATTCCTCTCAATTTAGTGTCATCTGCAAATTTGCTGGGAGTGCAGTCCACGCCATCCTCCAGAACATTATTGAAAATATTGAACAAAACCAGCCCCAGGACTGACCCTTGGGGCACTCCGCTTGATACCGGCTGCCAACTAGACATGGAGCCATTGATCACTACCCGTTGAGCCCGACGATCTAGCCAGCTTTCTATCCACCTTAGAGTCCATTCATCCAGCCCATACTTCTTTAACTTGCCGGCAAGAACAGTGTGGGAGACCATATCAAAAGTTTTGCTAAAGTCAAGGAATAACACATCCATTGCTTTCCCCTCATCCACAGACCCAGTTATCTCCTCATAGAAGGCCATTAGGTTAGTCAGGGATGACTTGCCCTTGGTGAATCCATGCTGACTGTTCCTGATCACTTTCCTCTCCTCTAAGTGCTTCAGAATTGATTCCTTGAGGACCTGCTCCAAGATTTTTCCAGGGACTGAGGTGAGGCTGACTGGCCTGTAGTTCCCCGGATCCTCCTTCTTCCCTTTTTAAAAGATGGGGACTACTTCAGCCTTTTTCCAGTCATCCAGGACCTCCCCCGATCGCCATGAGTTTTCAAAGATAATGGCCAAAGGCTCTGCAATCACATCCGCCAACTCCTTTAGCACCCTTGGATGCAGTGCATCCGGCCCCATGGACTTGTGCTCATCGAGTTTTTCTAAATAGTCCCGAACCACTTCTTTCTCCACAAAGGGCTGGTCACCTCCTCCCCATACTGTGCTGCCCGGTGCAGCAGTCTGGGAGCTGATCTTCTTTGTGAAGACAGAGGCAAAAAAAGCATTGAGTACACTAGCTTTTTCCACATCCTCTGTCACTAAGTTGCCTCCCTCATTCAGTAAGGGGCCCACACTTTCCTTGACTTTCTTCTTGTTGCTAACATTCCCGAAGAAACCCTTCTTGTTACTCTTAACATCTCTTTCTAGCTGCAACTCCAAGTGTGATTTGGCCTTCCTGATTTCACTCCTGCATGCCTGAGCAATATTTTTATCCTCCTCCCTGGTCATTTTTACAAGAACCTCCTCAGGACCTGGACAATAGCTTCAGCAACCAGGTCTATAGCAGCCTCCGAGGGGAAGGATCTCCTCCTGCTATATAACCGCTATCTAAGCACATAGGTAGTGGAGTCCCCCTTTGTGCACCAGAGGTTGATCCTGGCTTGCAACATCAGAATCTGAGACCTGGCCTATGGTCGGAGGGACTGGTGGACCCTGCAGTGTTTGGCCAGTTCATGAGGCTGCCCACCCTGCGTGACCCCATTGTGTGTTCAGTCTCCCTGCCAGTTCCCTTTGTTGTTTCTCTTTGACTTCATTCCCATCACTGTTTTTGCATTTGTTGTCACCAGTATTTACTGAGGCTTGGGTTCAATTGCCCCTTCCCTTCAGTTGAGGGGGAGGGCCTCTAGGTTTGGGCAGGCTTAGGCCCACTATCTCCCAGTAATCACAACAGGTATACACCTACCAACTTTGGCAACAAATGAGGCAGGGGGTCTTATGGACAACAGTCTCCTTCACTACACATCCGTGATTCATCCTCAGAGCAGGTCCAGCCTGTGCACTGGGTTCCTATTAAAAATGTTATTGCGCAAAGACTGTATCATAATGCATATGCAACCGGAGGCCCAAATAAAATTTCACAGGGAACCTTAACTCTGGCAGTTCACAACTTCTTAATACTTGGATTTACTGCCTCCTCCACTCTTCTTTGATGTCAAGTAACAGGGGGAGCATTAAGAGCACAAGAGAGACTGACTCCCTCCTCTGTGCCTGGGTCCACAGCAGCCCCCAGCAACCAGGAGGAGCAACTGCAGGGAAAATCCTGCCTTGCCTCTGGCGTCCCACCCTCGAGCATGCAGATGGAATGATTCAGGGAATTTAGCTGTCAAACTCTAACAAGTTTCTGTTGAGCATTGTGTTAACTGAGATTTTTCAAGGGCTTGTAAAGTGGCCAAATTTATGCTTTTTTTTTTTCCATGGAAACAGGAAAAGGCACATCCCTGACAAAAAGGCAACTCCTCCTGCTAAATTTCAAGCCATTGCTCCAATGCATGAAGATGCTAGAGTTTCTCAACAAAATAGTTGCAAGAATTTTTTAACATGAGCAAAACAACGTATTTTCCCCTAATATAATTTTCAGAAATTGTGGAAACATTTTCGCAGAAACTTTCTGAAAACCTTCAGCCTGCCACAGACACCCAGAATGGAAAATTTTAACCCGAACAGTTAATTTGGCACAGTATAAGCAACTAAAATAGAGTCTTATAATAAGATATGTCATGCAACTTTATTTATTGGGTGAGCTACCACCTTCATCTATAACAGATGAATAGATTTGTGTTAATTTAATATAGTTGAAAGTTTTCACTAGAAAGTCAGGACTGACATGAATAAAAATGCTTTTTTAAATTGAATTTCCCTTTTTTTTCCAGTGATATTTAAAAAAGAGAGAGAGAGAAAATAAATGTCATTTATGACAGTTGGCACAATTGACCTGAGCACTCATTTGGAGTCGGTCAACTGTTGTGTAAATAAATAATTATAAGTATCCTAAAGTGAAAATTATTTACTTACTCGTGTAAAACAGTAAAAGAAAAATCAGTTTAGTACAGGATGGTTTTACACAATAGCCCATAAAAGCACTTACTATGCCTTATAGATGATCCTGTCAAATTCTACTTAGATATTTTTAGTTCACTGAACTGCATTACAGTCTAGGCCATTTCCTAGCTTCCTATGCTCCAAACCTCTTCAAAAAGCTACATGTTTGTTGCTGTTGAGAATATTTTCTGCTGATGAATATAAATGTGCTAGGATTTCATTGGTGATATTATAGAGATAGCAAAGCTCCCCTTTATAACTTGAGTGCCAAGCTGTGCTATATATATATATAAAAAAAAACGTTCTGTGATTCCTGCTGTCAATGAAGGAAACATTTAGCTAGTTAAATGAAAAGACTAGCCAGGATATTAGCATCTTAGAATAGAGAGTGCCATTATTTACAGTCTTGGAACAGTATTGCCCTAAAAAGTCTTTAAAACTGTGGGCTATTTAAGTGAAACCTCTCTCTGTTTCTCGCAATGCAGAACATATTCAGTAAAATAAAGGTGTGTTGCACATTGCCGATAAACTAATGTACCTTCCCTTTTCTCTTCCTTCCAGCCATTCATGAAAAAAAAAAATCACAATCAATGCACTTCTGCTGCCTCAATACCAAAGAGTTCAATCCTGCTATCATTGAAGTAAACGATAGAACTCCCATTGATGTCACTGAAGGAGGATTAGTGTTAGGCATTAAATAGATAAGCACAAAGGAGAACCGAGAGGCTTGCAGGTTGCAAGCTGTAAACTGTTGTCTCCATAAGAATGTTTCCAATCACTTCAGTCTGGCATACAAATAATGTTTAGTTTAGTAGGGAAATAATCCTAAACATTTAGGAATCCTATTGGACTGATTAGCTTCATTTGTATCTTCTGTCCAAGAAATTGTAAAGTGAAAGATAAAGCATTATCATTTACATATATGAAATTTGGTTCACATTCCCCATGGTATGCTTACAAAAGAGGGTTCCAGAAAGGAACCAACTCTGTAAAACAAAAAATCGGAAGCAGCCTTAGCTATTGTCTCACTACTGTGAGCCCAGAACATATTTTACTGCTTTAGAGACATCCTGTGTGGATATGTTGGAGGGCCAGGAGAGATGAGAGCACAAGGATCTCATTCTCCCTCTGTGTACCTGTGTGGGAGGCAGCCATAATTTATCACTGACTGCTGGAGAGTGCAAGGAGGGCCTTTTCGCACAGATGGCAAGGTAATGTTCCCAGTCCTCAGCACTGGCAAGTGGCTACAACTTTCTAACACATACAGCATGACTTCACTTCTCTGTACTGGCCTGATCCAATGCCCACTGAGGTCCCCTGAAGGGGTCCCCTTAACATCAGTGGATTTTGGATTTTCCCCACTTTGTCTCTGCATCATGACTTCAAATCACATATCCTTTGCTGTGGTGGACAATGCACTCCTGCTCCTTCAACGCTGACAGGAATAAGGCTATGCTAAGAAATGACTTTCATTTCCGTACCTCTCTGATAGCTGTACAAAACTCACTCTGCAGTACTTTCTTTAGGGATTGTAGCTTGTGTACTGGTACTTCTCCGGACTCTTGTAGTTTCTCCAGTAATTCAATTGCTCTTGCAACATCTGAATGGGTAAAAATAGGAATAAAGTTCAGAAAAGCAGAGATTTGACATGTAAGAATGATTAATATTCCAAATAAGTGGTATAGTGATGATCAATATTTTCAATGCACTATCAGCTTTATCAATGCTTAATTGATTTGTTTTTTTGTTTATAACTTTTTAGCAGACAAGATAAAGTTCATTTCTGCAGGTAAACCACTTGAAATGTATACATTACCTTAAACTAATATATGTGTAGGCACTGCTGTTCAGAAATCTGAATCCTTCAGTACTGACATTACATGCATATTTATCAATTACAAGTACTCTTTTCTAAAAACAGATACCAGTGTAAGCAGATAATATACAGTAGTATGTTTAAAACAGTTAGAAATGTATAATTGCTTCCTTCTGCATTAAAGAGAACAGCACCAAAGAGGTATGGGGCATGCTTTCAAAGACTGAGTTAAAATTAGTCCTTATATAAGTCCATCTGGTATGATAATGGATAAGGAAAGAATTTAATCTTTTCTTTGTACAAACCTGGAAATATATACTAATATTTTCTTCAAGAATTGTTTTGCCTGTTGCTAGACGAAGGCTTCTCTAGTGATTAGAGCACTGGCCCAGGGCTCTGAAGAGCCAAGTTCAATTCCCTGCTCTGCCGTGTACTTCCTGGATGACTGTGGGAAAGTCACTCAGTATCTCTGCCTTGGTTCCTCATCTGTAAAATTGGGATAAAAGCACTTCCCTACCTCACAAGGATGTTGTGAGGATAAATATATTAAAGATTGTGAGATGTTCAAATAATGTGGTGATGGGGGCCGTATAAGCATGATAGGTACTGATTTGTTCCATGTATTACTTGATGGAGGCTATCCACTGATCAAGGGAGGGAGCTGAGTCAGTCCACTTAGTTAAAATACATTTATTTGCAAGAAATAACTGAAACAAGCAGCTGTAAGGGATGAATTCTAACCAGTGAAAGCTGTAGCATAGGTAGGGCTCAGACATTTTTACTACCATGTCATGGAAGCCTACGTTACAACTTCTGCTGCAGGAGCTGCACTGGAGGTGAATTACAGCCACAAAATTTGCTGAAGTAGATGAAGCCTGGCAACATTGTAATGTTGTCTTGATTGTCTGGTCATTCCCATTGCCTCTAATGTAGACTTATTTTCATTTCTACCCATGCCATCACTAGCCAATTATACCAAAATACTAAAAATATCATAGTGTAGTCATATAGTGACTAAGGGAATATACAATGCTACATGCATGCAAAATATTTGAGGCATTTTAAATGTGATTTAGCTGCGTTTAAAAATAAAATCTTTATAATGAATGGAAATTACCTTAAATAACCCTCCTTCCCCATGATAAAGATTGTAGTGTTTGTGACTGGGAGATTACACTAATTGAAACAATTCTTAGAATCCTCGTCTTGCAGTTTAGCTCTTCTGAGCAGATGTCCTATCTGGCACAGACATGAGAAGCTATTTAGAAATGGGGAAAGGATGGCTTCAGATGAGTGGTTTAAAGTATATTTTTTAATATTCATAATAATAGTTTTGTTCTTTGCATTTTTAACTATCTTTCTCACAATGAAATACCTTCAAAAATGGCTCTTTACCAGATTCATAATTCTGACATTTCCCATTCAAACTGAGAGGTTCACAGTTAGTTAATTTTTAGACTTCCAGTCCTTAGTCCTTGGCCCCAGCTTCAGGGGCTCTGCTCTATGCAGACAGTACAAAGCAGATGAAGGGCTGCATCTTAGAATTGCCCAATACTCTTTGCTGGCATAGCAGTTCTGATTGGACCTCTGCAGTTGCCAGAGCTTAGAAAAGCCCTTCAGCTGCTCTAAATTACAAGGGGGGTTTGTTTTGTTGTGTGTGTGTGTGTGTGTGTGTTTTTTTTTACCCTGGTTAACCCAGTTTAGAGCTTCCTTCCTAGTCTTCCTCCCAAAATATACTGAGCAGAAGCGCAGTGCAGTTGCTGGCTGATCCCCCACTATTTTATTCCCACTTAGCTGTTCTACCTCTAGTTCTGTGGATTCTCTGCTTCTACCCATGTTCACTATGGTCCTGACTCCCACTGACATCAATGTTCTTTTGGCACCCTGATTCGGTAAAGTAACCCTATTCTTAAAGCAAATGCTTAATTAGCTCTAGGCATGTCATTTTCCTATTGAAATCAATGGGTTTTAAGTATCGGCTTAAAGATAAGCATGTGCTTAAGTGCCTTCCTGAACTGGTGCCTGGATCATTCACAGTATGATTAATTGCATTTAGAAGTAGGACAAGCTTGCATTTAGTATTGCAATATATTGCAAAGAGAGGAACATGGTAGTACAAATGACAAATTCATGCTCTCTGATGTGAAAGCAACAGGAGGTGAGTGCGTGAATTCCTAGGCAAAACTGAGTGCCAAGTTGTCATTTGCTGAAGTGGGCATCTCCCATTTTCTGATAGAGAAGTTGCCCATGAATAAACGCAAATTCAGGCAGCACCCCATGAAAATGCTAATAAAGCAAAGCTTGTGATTGTTCTTAAACTAAATAACGAAAACTACCAACGGTATTAACTTTACCAGTTGATGATATGCTGCCTATTATTTGTATTATCGTAGCACCTAGGAGTCCCAGTCACGGGCCAGGACTCCATTATGCAAATTGTGGGAGGTATTACTTTTCACTATCTTGCTTACCATAACAAAAGTCATGAGTACTTTACTTTCTCCATGCTTTACTAGGGGAGTATAATACAGAATGTGTATGTAGATGGTGCTCCTGTGAGGGTTTTCAAACCATAGCCACTATACCTGGTTTTCTTGAGTCAGACCTTCACCATGTGGGTACTTAAAGTTGTGTTTGTAGTAATAAAGAATCCAGATGCAAATTAGAAAGACAGTATAAGCTTTATTAAGGAATGTAATTCAACTGCAGGAGCAGGAGAGCTAGGGCTTTATTCTCCCACTGTGAGATAGGCTAGGAATATTGCTTACAAGGTATTGACTTTGCTGGGAGTTACACAGGCTCTGCGGTGAGAGAATAGGGCCCCAGACACTAATCTAAGCTGCAGAGAACAAGTTGAGAGTGATCTTCACAGACCCTCAGTCATATAATCATCTCTATCAAGGATATTAAGTTCTAAGCATTACTTTATCAGGACAAAATTGTCCATTGCTGATCAGTGATCATGAAGGCAGGATACTTCCTGCCTAGCAATTTCTCAGAACTGTAAACCCCGCCACTGAAACCCAAAGTAAACCTTTCTGCTGATAACACATATACTTTATTTCAATATTTTATTTCTCATACTTTAAAACTCAAGATGTTCACTAGTTGAGCAAATGCAATTTTAACTATATAAGCATTATTGCACACTATTTGTTTTTCTAAAATGAAAGTCTAAGAAATACATATGTATACTTATTTCAAAAGATGAAACTCAAAGTCTTAGATGCTGTTGTAAGCTACAGTAAAAATTGAAGCATGACTGTCTGGGGTTTTGGGATGCTGAAAACAGTAAATTATTTACCCTTTGGCCCCAGGAGTTGGAAGATTTCCCAAGACTAGTAGCAAGTAAATAAATGATACCATTTAATTTATTGTTTCTGACACGAGCAAGTAATATAGCACTGGGAGTTTCCATTTGCAGGTAACATAAGGAAATTCCAGTGCTCAGAAAATATAATGAGAGACTATCAAGGTCCCTATTACAAAGACATTTTTTAAAAAATTATATAACTTTCCATGTTCCCAAATTCATCCAATGCTGTAAAATAGATGTAGTGATCCAAGCTGTTGCATTGATGTATTATCTCTCGATCATATTTCTTAACAATGTGCTGCGTCCCTTCCCTTATCACTGCTGGGCCCAGTGCTCTGACTCCATTTGGTAGTGACTTTAGGGATAATTTTCATGACAGAAGAATATATGAAGCAATAAATAGCTTGGAGGAGGATTAAATCCCAAAGTGAAAATGAGGAATGTGCTCATGGCCATATCTGTTTGTTACAAGCAGACACCTTTGTCATGAGCGTTATTCTTGTTTCATAAGACAAAACAAGATTCAACACACACTATAAAATATAGGCATGAAGGTAAAATATTACCTCATGAGGGTTTGAAACATTGTACAGCTTTCCAGTGATACGCCTGTTGAGGTGAGGCTTGGATAAACACCCGCTCTAAGGCAGGTTCAACAAGCGTGAAGTTCATCCCTGCATAAGGGCTCAAGTGGAGCATAGGCTTTGTGCTGGTCCTCTGGACAGGGAGAATTTCACCCAACGTGGAATAACTGCTTGAGGGCAGAGTTAAAATGTGAATAATAGTTCCAAGGAGTGAGGAAGAAGTGATGTGACTGGCAGCTATGAAGATTTCAAAGTTAGTTGTGAGAAGTTAACATGTGGGGTGAAATCCTGCCCCTATTGAACTTAATGGGAACACTCCTCTTGTTTTCAATAGGGCCAGAATTTCCCTTTGGGGTTCTTTTCTTGACCAAATCTTCCTTTTGCTGTGTAATTATTCTAAGGAATTAGGTCTGTTTGTTATGAAGAATGGGCAATGAAGTGTTCTCATAATATTTTTTCACATATTTGTAGAAAGTGTAAATTAATTAATTAAAAATCCATTGAAATTGTGAAACTATTTTTAAATCAGTTTAAAGCTACATTTATATTCTATAATAAAGAAAATTAAACTCAGTCTTCTCTCTTTACTATTTCTAATTCATCCCTTTCATCAGCCAGGGAACCAGATTATTTTTTTAAACAAAAGCCTTCCAATAATAATCCCTTTGATCACAATTCCATTTGATAGAAACTTAGATTTCAATCAAATCAGCATGAATTTGTCTTCATTCCACTCACTGATCTTCCATTGAGATCAATGGGAGTTTTGTTTGAAGACTGGGGATGAATGATTACTTGATATTTTATGTTGAACATACCATAAAAGGAACATCTGTTTATTCTTTCCCTTTTGGACCTAATGCTCATTTTACATTTTTATTTTTACCAACACCTCTTTATACTTCTCTCTTCTATCTAAGCAATGATCTCTACTCTCCCCCCATTCTATTTAACATTCTGTTCACTTCTCCTCTCTTCTCATCATTGAACTCACATGCAGCACTTGAGGAAATAATGTTTCAGCATGGTGGGTCACATTATCAGTGAAACACAGATAATGGTGAGGTGGCTGCAGATGGAACATTATATCAACAGTGTGCATTGAAAAGGAACATTGTTTTCAGAAAAATTCTCATCTAATGTAATATTTTTATATATTTATATTTTTTCATTTGAACGCAGTTTCGTTTGCATTCCTGGGGACCATAAGCAGGCTATTATAATGTTACTGTACAGACATAAAGAAAGAGAGAGAAATCACTAGAACATGGAGCTAGTATGATTTCATACTGTGATTAAAAACTGGAACATTACCATGCAGTATTAAATGAAGTAGAATTATGCAGACATAACCATGTAGCATAATACAGTTGTAAAGGCAGGTCATTTTGCTTGTTTATCACTGTCCTTCGGTCCCTATGTTTAGTCTCACTTCTTTCAAATGGTATAATTATATATCATTCTCCCCTGCTGTCTCTTTATTCAAAACTAATGTCATTAAACACAATTTAGATAGATCTGCCTGAAATTAATCTGTTGACTATTTTAAACATAAATATTATTTCCAGTATTTTGCATTTCAGATCACTTTAGCCCCAAAACAACAACCAAACCCAGATGCTATGAGAAATAAGGATCCTAGATACTCCAACACTGATAGACATGTCACAGTTCTGTTAGCAGTTTGTAAGGTAAATTCTAGCTTTCATTGGAGTATATATAATAGCTGTAACTGATGGCAGAATTTGGCAAGGTTTGTCTTAATTCTAACTCAGGAGATCCAGGAAATTCAGCAATTCATAGAAATGCCAGGATACTTGATTTTAGCATTCTGAATCATTTTGTGTTCAAGAGTGACTGTAACTGTCAGTGTTTAGTGATACAAAATTTCAGTAACTCTTGGAATGCAAGATATATACACTGGAGGTAAGAGCTGTACTACATTAATTAATGTATAGTCTTCCAATCCTGTGCTTATCTGGAGATCGCACAGTTATAACCTGCAGCCCCCTGAACAATTTTTACCCATTGGCATAAGACTCTTTTTGACTAGTAATGACAGTGTTCTGTGAAGTTAGTTTTGGTTCAAGCAGTAATTGCTTATATAGGCAATATATGGTTTTTTTTTCACCAGCTGGTCTGGAATCATCTTGCTGGACTGCTCGCAATAAGGAAATATAAAAATTTCTTGTAGACTAACAAGGTTTTGGATAGTAGACTCCCCACCTTTCTGAGACACATTTTGTCTTTCTACTGCCACGCTCACTTTAGGTATGAAAAAGTTCATTGGAGGTGAAACTGTATTATTTATCAGAAAGAAGAAATATATAAAATAAACACAAAGTGCCATTTGGGATG